CATGATTAAGCAATGAGAGTTAGTGTTTATCTGTATTAATATAACATATAATATAATAGGTAATGTAATAAAACATAGTAACAAAAAACACAATCTGATCGGGGATGCAAGATCTGGTAAAAGGTGAAATGTAGTTATAGATTAGTACAGATCAATAATATAGAATATAAAATATAAAAAATGAAATGTATTTGTTTAATAATAGTAATCAGAATTCAAATATGTTAAGCTGCTAATTGTAGTGACACCGTGACATCTTTGTTACCTTCATGTAATACTTGAACGTGATGAGGTCTTCATGTGTTTATGATCCAGCTCTCCACTAGATGGCGCACTAACACACTGTATCCTTTCTCACCTCCTGCAGTAAATGTGACCAAACGGTGTGTTTTGGGTCTTTGGGTGAAGGCCGCCGGTGATCCACTAGAGGCCGTGCTTCACCAATACAAAAGAAAAAACACCCACCGTGCTTCAGAGAAAACTCTTTGAATCTCCACTCTGCTGCTTTGCTGATTGGGCCTAGAAAGATGGCCGCCCATAGTGACGTGTGCCTGCTTGTCGTGACGTCATACGTCAGTTTTTGCCCTCAAGTATTTCCCGAATGTCCAGTTTTCCTCTTTGTGATGTGGCCTACCGTTTGCTGTGACGGAGGGTCAGAGACACAGCTGGAAATTAGATCTGCACGTTGTAGCCCGTTTGTGATGAGAGGCGATTGGATAACTGGTGGTTTATCAGCCTATTACTCAATCTGACCTCACTTTTCAAAGAGAGAAATTAAGGCTCGTGTGTGATGGTGACGCTTTTCTTTCTTCGTGTCGTCTCCTTCTCAGCGTCTGTTTTCTGGTAGAACAACAGTTGTAAGAGTTGACAGAGTGTCGGAGTCAAAGCAGGACAAAGTCAGACAGAAGTTTTGAGGGGAAAAGAAATCCTCAGGGGAGCCAATACTGTTAGAGACGGCCATTATTACCTTACATCTGTTACAATCAGATTTAATATGGTCTGTTTTGGGGATACAGGATAGCATATTAAGCATATCTATTTATATTAATGTGGACCTCAAATGTTACATGTTTTTTTTAATGAAAAACAGCCTAAATATAAAATGTTTGGATATATAATTATTTATTTTGGATACCCTTGGAGTTATGTGCAATGGAGATACGTGTGCAGATAGTTTTCATGTACCTTTTGAGATTCATTTGTGGTTCATTAGCGGATATAAAGTGACGTTTTTGCACTTGAAAGGTTATTTATTCATATTGAGGTGCATATATATTCGTACTTAGGCTGTAAATCTTTCTCCAGTGTTGCTGTAGCTTGACATATTCATGTGGAAACTATTTGCGTTGCATTTTGTATAAGAAACTATTATTGTTTTTTTGTGTTAAGCAATAACAGTAACTTTTTTAGTTTGTTCTCATTTTACAAACTTATGTTTCCCCGTCTGAAGTTGTTCTCTGGATTACACCAATCAGTTCACAAACAACAACGTGAAGCCTCGATAACAAAGGCTCGCTATAGCCGAATACCCGCCACTTCAGTGTCCTCATTATTCTGAGGAATTAGCCGGAACATTTGGACTAATTACCGCTAATTGGCCATAACAGCCGTGTGCCAGAACAGGGGAAAGGTACTGATTTAGATGATTAAGAATATCTTGTGAAATTAATTAAGGCAGGCATAAGCAAAATGTACCTTGGATGCAAAGACATGCTGTGATTTTAATTGCTGCGATTATATGGCATGTGAATCATGCGCCTGCACCTCGGCTATCATCCAAACAATTTATTTCAACTGTAATATTTAGCCTCGGACTATATACCAATATTGCTTCATTAAAGGTAAGTGTGCACCTCTATGCAGCGCTGCACATAGTGCACATACTATCCTGCAATGACGTGCAGGCAGCCGTGAAATATGGAACTGTAGCCGATGATCCGCGTGACAATCCCCATGTCACCGCAACAATGGAGCTTTCCACTGAGTCTGGCTGCAGTGTGACAGCTTGTTGCTGAGGGTGCATCAGCAATCATTTGAATTTTTAAGAAAAATCTGGAAAGAAAAATAGTTTAAAAAATCCAGAAATGAACCAAGGAACACATCTTTAGAGTCTCAGTGGAATAACACTGAACACAACATTTCACGTTTTTATGTCTGCCACCAGAAGACGCTGTGTTTCTTTAATTCCTTTAAATATTGGCACGACCTGCAGGCGCAGACGTCTTCTGCTAGGAGCTGCTGCTGCTGCTGCGTAACACGTTAGACCTGCTGGCGAGTCCTTTAAAAAACCGAAATATTACCAATAATACTTGGTTTGTTGTTTTGTTGTAGCCTCAGGTTCAGCTCCGGTATGATCCTGACATCTACAGATTGTGTAAGTTAGAAGTTATTGTGTCCATTTCAATTCTTCACTGCTTATTTTCTAAGGTAGTATGTTAATAATTTCGTGCCTAACATGCAGCAGACAGGATACACTGTAGCCGAATATTAACAACAACGAAATTGTACTTTATTGCTTAAGGTTGAAATATTGCCAAACTTAAAATGATTACTTATTTCTGCTTATGAAAAATAATCTTATGCACATCTTTAAAACGAAGGAAAACGAGTGGTAATATCAATTAGCAATACAATTCAACACAAATATAAGAAGAAGAAACAATTGCTTTTAGATTAAGTTCTCATGTTTGGTGAAAACAATTTGTACTTGAATGAGAAAATGAAATTAAATAAATAAAAGAATGGCAGAAACGTCACCTTGCGTAAAAGTGGACTTTGGCTCTGAAGCGAAGCCCTCAGAATACAATTTCTTGACTTCAAAGCTGTTGGATGAAGCCAAAATCTTTTATGTGCTCCATGTGTAAAATTTTAGAAATGAGATATGATTGAGTGAACCTGTTATGGCTCCTTGAGCATTAAGGCAAGATGCTACTGAGGGCTACCTGCATGCGTTGTGCTGTATGAGAGTATACTTGAACACCGTTAACTTCACATGAGAGCCTCTCCTACTCCAGACTCTATTTTGTTTTTTTTTGTTTTTTCACCGGGCCGTTTCGACGAGTGTGTGCATCTGAATATAGGTAACACGCTGTTTGCGTCCAATGATATCAAAAGAAGAAAGAAAGAAAAACCAAGGGGGGTTAATCATTTACGCAGCCACTTAACACGCGAATGTGTATTTATTTACTTATCAGTACCAGTCAATTTCGCTCCCCGCAAGTGCACTTTTGCATGTCTGAGTACGATAAGGCATAACACAAACAATCCTGCAATCACTGGAGGCCTCTCATGGCCATTACAAGTCAGTAGTTCAACTGAGGAGTGGTTCTCCAACTCTCAAGTCCATATAGGCCTCCTTTCATCAAGAGGCCCTCGTAAACATCACTACAGTTAATAAAGTGTATTGTGGTCAGTGCGGTCCCAAGGTGCAGCGGTGTATCCAAGGTATCAGCGACAGCAACAAGTCGCAGACTCCAAATGCAGCAGCCGCAGCGCGGCTGGACGCCGCGCGCGGGGACGAGACATTTATGATCATGTGCAGCGCTTATGTTATTGTCAGTGGGAGGGGAGCACATGTCTTGTAAGCGAAATTGCGCTCGACGAAAGGAGGCTAGAGCTGTTTTGTATTGTTGCCGATGCCCCGCCTCTGATGGTAGCCTTAAACCTGGCACCCAGCTAAAACAAACCAAAGCCAGCACCGAGCTCCCACTCAATCCAATTAAGGCGGACTTGAGGCGCTCTCCTACGTGTTCATCTACCAGGATCGACGTTGAGACAACAGGAACCAGAGGGGCTTTGGCCAAAAAAAAAAAAAAAAAGAAGAGAAGGAGAGATTGCCTTGCCTTCTAATTTCTCCCTCTCCAGCCCCAGAACAATGTCGATGAGCCCTAAGCATACGACTCCTTTTTCTGTTTCCGATATCTTGAGTCCCCTTGAGGAGAGCTATAAGAAAGTAAGTATGGAGAATAACAACTTGGGGGCACCTCTCACTTCTTACCGGCAGCCGCAGGTCTCTCAGGCGGCGATGCAGCAGCACCACATGGGCCATAATGGGACTGTGTCTGCGGCTTACCACATGACTGCGGCAGGTGTTTCTCAGCTGTCACACTCGGCCATGGGGGGCTACTGTAACGGCAACCTGGGAAACATGGGCGACCTGCCGTCGTACCAGGACGGCATGAGGGGCAGCACCACGGCCACCGGCTGGTACGGAGCCAACCCGGACCCGCGCTTCTCCACCAGTGAGTACAGCCTGCACCTGTACTTTGACTGCAGCTTTGAGTTGTGCTGAAAAGCAGTTTTTGTGTACATGCTCCGGGTTTATACTGTATTGTAGTGATTGTTCCTGCCTGCCATAGTGGGCACTGCTTTATTTCACCTATAGGGTTTGATTTTATTATTAGGGAGGGCAAAGATAAAGCAAAAGCATGCATGCATTGCATCCAAACATCCGAAAACAAAGTCTCACAATAAGGATCCTTAGTGCCGAAAATGTGCTCATTTAATGTTGACTATACGTGATCACATTAAACCAAAAACAATCTGCTGTCAGTGAGCTCAGAGATTTAGTTTTTATAGTTGATAATATATGAAATGGACTTTGACACGCATTAGAGTTGTTGTTTTTTACTATATTGAGTCATGGAAATAAATATCAGAGCTGTAGTTGCATAAGTGCCACATATAAAAATCAACTAGTCTTCGCTCTCAAAGCAAATTTTCTATGACGTTTTATGCCTAAAAACCGAATTATTTTATGCATCATTGTTGCTAGTAAAATTTGCAGTTTTATAGTATGAATTATATGTTTTTTCCCCCCATCAGTTTCTCGCTTCATGGGCTCGTCGTCGGGCATGAACATGGGCAGCATGGGCAGCCTCAGCTCCCTGGCAGACGTGGGTAAGGGCATGGGCTCCCTGTCCAGCACCCCGAGGAGAAAGAGACGGGTGCTGTTCTCCCAGGCGCAGGTCTACGAGCTGGAGCGACGCTTCAAGCAGCAGAAGTACCTGTCGGCACCGGAGAGGGAACACCTGGCAAGTATGATCCACCTCACCCCGACCCAGGTGAAAATCTGGTTTCAGAACCACCGGTATAAGATGAAGAGGCAGGCTAAAGACAAAGTGTCCCAGCAGCAGATGCAGCAGGACAGCGGCTCCTGCCAGCAGCAGCAATCCCCGCGGAGGGTGGCCGTGCCGGTGCTGGTGAAGGACGGCAAGCCCTGTCAAGGCAGCGGCCACACGCCCACATCCTCCGCACAGACCCTCCACCAGCAAGGGGGCAATGTCATGATCATGTCCAACAACACCTCCGGCCTCGGGCAGCACCAGAGCCAGCAGGTGGGAAGCACGGGTCACTCTCCAGATTTGGCGCCGCACTCCTCCAGTCCGCCGTCCCTGCAGAGCCAAGTGGCCGGCCTCTCTCACCTCAATTCCCCCGGCGGAGAGTACGGCTCAGCCCTGCAGTGTTCAGCCCTGTTATACGGCAGGACGTGGTGACAAGAGGCGCCGGCTATTTAAACCGATTCTTATATTTAAAGAAGAAGAAAAAAAGACATATTTTTACTGTAAATGTGCGCATCTGAACAAGAGCCGAGTGAAGTCGGCAACGCTCTTCTTGAATTTTCACCTTTTTGGAAGGAAGTGTGACTTATATGGAAGGAAGGAAGGAAGGAAGGGCACAAACACTTTTGACCATAAAACTGCGGAAGTTTTGGGATTTATTTATGTAAATTATATTGAGACAAAAGACGAATCAGCAGTCATATAGGCCGCAGTAGTTCGGGGAAAGTGAACCTGAACAGGGAAACTGTTGTATATGGATGCTGTTATATTCCCCCTCACACACACACGTGACTCTGATTTATATAGAATTTAATGTAAGCCGTAGATCTAGCTTGTATATTTCTGTGAAATGTTTGAATTTTAGCTATCTGTTGTACAAAGTTTTTGACGCTATTGCCGGTTTGTTGTCGTTTCATTGGTATTTGTACGTTTTATTTCTTTGTAACTTATATAGATATTTGACTTACTACAAAACAGTCCTATTAATAAATTATGGAAACAAGAAAGTTAAGCTTTTTTTGTGAAATATGTCAACATATGCGGTGTTAAATGGCGGAAATATTCCTTTTGGGAAAAAGTCAATAGAGCAAAAATTAAACCAGTAGCCTACAGTCTTGTTATTGTTATTATTATTATTATTAACATTTATTATTATTATTTGCTCGTTTTCTACGATAGGTGGTTTAGTTATTTCTTAAAGAAATCTATTAATTATTGTAGGAAAATAAATCCAGACATCCATGTCGTTAAATAGGTTCATTTTTGGCAAACTGACAGGACTAAATACTTTATCAACACTCGGGCTCTTATTCTGACATGACAATTAAATACCGGAGCCTATTTTTCTTCTTTATTCTCTGACAAATCACACCGGCTCTGGCTTATCGTTACAGGCTAAAGCTCACACAAGCGTGCCCTGCAGAGTAAACGGACCCTTTATGAGCTGTTTCTTTTCTCTTTCTCTGGTGTTTGACTGTGTGAGTCAGAAAGGTGAGGTCTTTTCGGCTCCACAACATCAAACGCGAACGCTGCTCAAAGAAAAGCTTATCGACGAAATCCCTGACCAAACAGCGCGGTGTTCTCCTCAAATAACTCGCGAGGCCGAACTGTCGGCGCGGGAGCTATCAGCAGGTTTCTCAATAATCAATCAGGGGTATTGAAAGGAAACGGCGAAAGGCTGTTTGTGCTCGGTGTCAATAGCAAACCAGCCCAAACGTTTCTTTAAAGATTAGACTGTATTTTAGGGTGTTTGATACTTCCCAGTGCTTTTTTTAACGGCCGCAAGAATGAAAACACACGACCGGTATTTTTTCTTTTTTTCCTCTAAATTATAGGCTTTGTAAATAAAAGCTATAATAATCATTAGGGACTATTCTCCCGCCACCTAATAGCGCTATAGGTATTAACAGTAAACAGGGTGGTTGCTCAGCGACGGAGGTAACGATGGGTGATTTTCGATTACGGCTGAAAATAAGTTGCTGTCAATCCAGTGTTGTCACAGCTCCTATAGCTGTAATTTCACATAGTTTTGGTCTGAATAAGATGCAATCTAACCTCAATGAATTTATATTTATTGACCTTTTTTCTTTTTTTTTCTGGCCCAAATGTTTGTCTTGATTTCCCCCCCCCCCCAAAAAATGTTTCCATCGTTTCATTTAATACGTTTTGAAACCTACAATGATTTCTGGGTGGTTATCGGTTGTTTTGAGATAATAGTCCTGGACATGGTCCACTTTTGTATAGGCGTGAGCTATTTGTAGGCGATGTGGCCTTTCCGAACCTGCATCTTCTTTATTTCACCAAAAAACGACTTGTTTTGGAGTTCTTAATTCAAGTTTAGAATAAGAAGGGAAATAGCCCTTAATCGGTTGACCCAACTGTTTGTCCCATTGCCCCCCAAAAATCAGAACCAAAATTGCGACCAGTTAGTTAGGCTACAAATACAAAAGTTTAAGGTGCATGTTTTCATAGCCTTCTGGCCTCGTTTGGTCCTGACTCCTGTTTCTCTTAATACCTGACTTTTAGATGGGATCACTGATTTTTACAGTGGACTTCTTGCTCATCTGTTTGCATTTTCATCCATAACTAAAGATACTATGTTGTAAATATATACAACATATACTCCGTATCTGGTTATACTTATTTTTATGTTAAATATGTTACTCTTTTGAAGAAATCTTAAAAAAAAAACTCAAATCTTTGGTTTTATGGCTTTGACTCAGCAGCACATTTCTGCTCACATTATGATTTATGATTTATGATTAAAGTGTAATCTAGGGCCTATCAGTGGAGTGACTATTTTACTCAAGTGAATAATTTCAGGCCACTTTCACTTTTATTTTTGGTCATGTAACTTTAAAAAAACGTATTTTTAAGCACATTGGACTTTATAGAAGATGCGATTTCCCACCAAATAGAAAATCAACCTTTTCTATTTTGCGTGTGTCCCTTTAAGGCAGCAGCAGCAATTTTAGGCCACCAGGCAATCCTCCCAAAAAGCCCTTTTGGAGACTTTTAAGTGAAATCTTACCAGCATCAGAAACTATCTTCTATTAGGCATTTTGCAGAGCTGGTTTTGTTCGGGAGAAAAGTGAGAACTTTGGGATTACATTAACATGTCTTTGGCGCGGTGTGTGGTCTTTGTGCGCAGCTTGTAGCTGTTGAGAACGACTTGTTGGAAGCGTGTGTGCTCTCATCGCTCTCTTTTGTAGAAACCCACAGTGCAACTCCCCAAGTCCTCCTGGCTTTATGGTGGGCTGGTCTCCATGAACCCCGAGCAATTAGTCCCTAATCTCAAGGTTATCATATTTGAGTTAGCGACTAAACTGTTGCATTTCATTCGCCTGTTTAGCTTCGGTATCACTTTTGGATGATATGTAGCATCCATAAATGCTGTTTCGTGTATCAGTGGCTTTTTTAAAACTGAATTTACAGTTTAAGGGGATATCAAACGTGTGTGCGTCTTAAAATGGTGGCAGCAATACATTCCACGATAGATGATTTGCATCTCTACAGTGGCGTCGACAAGTGAAAGCAAAGCACATTATATCGTTAGAAAGAATACAATACGATTTTTAATTGACGGGTTTTGAAAATTAAACTTTAAAAAACTGGTTATGTTATCATGTTCAAAATTGTATTTTTTTCTAAACGAAAATGATAAATTGCAGATATCTTTCCAGTGTTTCAGGGACATGTTGTAGAATGTTACCTGCAGTTTGGAGGAGTCGGTGTACACATCAAGTACATTTCACACTCTCGGGATACTGCATACTTTATATTATTTAATCACTCGAGGATGGATATTTTTGCAGTGTTACGTGTGTGCAGTAGGCTACCAATGATTGGCTCATCCGAAACAAGAGTCATAGTTTCCAAGCTTACATTTGTAAGACTGAATAAATCGTCAATGATACACTTTAGATATCCACTGACAAAGATTGAACTAACAAAAGTAAAATATTAAGAATAATACAAGAAATACAAAACAACGTAGCTTTCGTTGATATCTTTGAAGCGAACGTACCAAGTGTGTTTTTCGGAAATATATTCCTATGATGAATATATGATTATATCACGCAGAAGTGCATGAGTGTCATCAACACGGCGCTATGATTAAGTATTGAAGCCCTGAAAACAGACAACTCTAATACAAATTGAAAAGTGTTGGCAGTGAATTTAAAACTTCTTATAGTTTTAAATAATTTATAGTTTTTTGTGTTATGTCTATTTTGTTAATTATTTTTTGTTGAAGATGGAAGAGGCGGACTTGGGTGCTCTCCATGGTGCTGAAATACATAGAAAATCAGCACAGAGACGAGACATAATGCGTTAGTTTGATTTTACCTGACTTTACCTATAAAAAAATGAATACATTTTTTTTAGCATAACCAGAAACTATTTTTTCTGCCAAGGCAGTCTTCTTATAAAACCTTGTTTAGAGAATATAAAAATAATAGCCTACTTTTTCTTATTTTAAACCACATCCGTTCTCGTTCCTCTTTCTTAAGTTCCTACACATTTCATTGCAGCAGGCCAAAGCATTCATGTGCATCATAAATAGGACAATTACTCAGCAACTGCAATCACCCCCTTTGGTAAATGTTATTGTCAGCTAGCAGCAAAAATCTTTAATTGTCCTACGTTTATCTGGTTCTTCAAGCCATTGTTAAAAGAGCGCAAACGAGGGTCATTTGTGAGCTGAAATACTTTGCATGCAAAGCGGAGCACAAGATGCTGTAATACTTGACCTTTTAGCATAATTGTTGCAGGCATGAAATGCAGCATTCAGAGCTCGCTGAGTGGAGTCCTTTCTCCCTCCCTCCCTCTGATGAACAAAGCGCATTTTATACATCTTCGGTGTTCATTTGGCTTTGTTTCTTTCGAATAAAACGTCTCTGGGACTGGCTGCAATTTATCATCATTTCAATAATACTGCTGGGGCGGAGAAACGGCACAAATCACAAGCTTTCACAATTCTATACTCAACAGTGGACTTCATGCTTAGCCCTCCCCCCACAAAAGACAGAAAACTTATAAATAGATCTGTTTATCGGTTTGATATGACAGGCCTTTCACGAAATGATACTGGACAGCAGGATTTTAAGGTCTGACAGGAAGAATGAGACTGCTGTAGGGGTTGATCGTGCATCCTTGACTTGATGCTGAGCGGTTTCTTTACTTAATATTCACAATGACGGCAAAAGAATAGAAGAAAAGAAATACATATTTTGTAATATATAGTTGTAACTCAAATATTAAAGCAAATTCTTGGAGATTTTAGCCCTTGAGTAACCATAAAGTCCTCCTGGATGATCGATAATTACTTAATTTTATGTGCAAAATTATCTACCTGATGTAATTGAACTGTTCCTAACTCTTTTACCTTTTCCTGATTATTTCAAGTGAAACCAAAAGCCTGAAATGGCAAAAATAACTGACATTTTTTGAAGAAAATTCATTTTTACTCTGATTTTGATGTAATTGCGTTTCTCATTTCAAAATAACCGAATTAGTTTTCTAACCCCTTCTGCTCAATCATTTATTAAACCACCTACAGCTGTTTTTCCATCTGCTTTGGGAGTTGTGAAGGCCAGACAGTATAATTTCGGAATCATGTTTTAAGGAGGGTATTATCTGCATAGAGTTTGAAGTCACAGTGAAACAGAGGTTAGAGTGTCCTAAACTTCAGTCATGTGATGTATTTCTGAGTCAAACATAACAAGTGCAGGGGTTTAGTTATGAGCCTGATTTAAATCAAGTCCTCAAATGTAATTGGATTGAAAATCCACACACCTCTTAACAAATTGCTCTACCCACTATGGTCAGGTATGGTTTTGTATGGTTGCCTTTGTTAGCTGGATACATTTTCAAACCACCCTCACATTCAAGATGAGTCATCAAGACTGGACTAGATTACAAAATGGAAAATTAATTTTTAATTTCACTGTCTTTAAAGGAGATTTGGTGCTTACAAATGCCACTTTTTAAAAGTTGATTTACATGACATTAAGAAACAAAATCAAGAGTAAAGATGGAACCACAACTGTATAGAAAACTACTGATCCACAAACTGATCCCTGTGGCACCACATTAAGTGGATCACAGGCCGCTACAAGTGACACAGACTGTTTCCTGAACAACTTTTAAATATTTTAACCGTGGCAGAAATTCTTGGTGCCTTAAAAACAAGTCGCTAAGAAAAATTGGTCTTTTTGTGTTTTCATAAGAAACACAACCGGTCATATCGTCAGAATTTTAGCATGCCTTTATTATAACATTTATATCATTTGAGATTAATTGTCCTAAGATGATTTGGTTACGAACTAGAAAGTAAGAAAATTAACATCTACAACAAAAAATACCCAGAACAATTACTCTTCATCATCAACACAGACCTTTGTCCCAAAGGATTCCTCAAATGGCATTCGGACTCAAACTGAGTAAGTTTGCCCAATATTTCTTGATCTGAAATATTTTTATGCTGAAACTAAAACCATGAATGCACATTCCTTTAAACAATTGTAGATCTTAAGTTGATAGATCATAGACTTGCTAAATACAGGGCTAGCATGGCCTCCTCTGAAACACAATGATTTTATTGTGGGCTATATTGAGGACAGAGCAGAGCCTCCCATTGGTTCAATCTAAGTAAAAACAAGAGCACATACTTACAAATCAGTTGTGAGTTTATTTGGGTCAACATTATTAAAACATTATAAGGCTACTAAAACATATATTATTTATTTGACTGGAAATTTGCACCTCCAATGAAGACAATAATTATCAT